CAAGACAGGATGACAGTTACCAAGTCGAAATATCCCATGATAAACAGATTCTGGGCCATTTTCGTACGTGTCACGCCCCCCCCCCTCCTCCCATATTCAGGATATGGAGTGTAGTCTGATGTGTCATGACACGTTTAGGAAGAGTTCTACAAGACCTGTGACAGTTGCTACTACGAACTGCGATACCACCGACCTCCTTTCTTTATGAGAGTTCCTGAACCAAATACACTGACTTTGGGACCACCGTGTTTTTGAAAAATGAGTCTGGAAAATATTATAAAGTTGTCACAAGACTGAAGCAGAACGTGCTAGTAATATTCAGATCATCCGGCATCGTGCAAATACGTTCATGGAAAGTGGCCAAATGGAAACTCAGGCCGAATTGCTGTCTCGGCGAGATTTTAGCACTTTAGATGTGAGCCTTTCTAAAACATTCATAGAGCTGCATTCGCATGCAGCGCTCAGGATTTGGTTTTCAAGGCCTTGAATGCGGTATATCGCGACAAATGTTCTTTCATGCCAAGTACACAAAGGGAGCGAATTACGACCAAGAGAAATGACGATGATGGAGAGAGCAGAGAGGCATGGGAAAGGGAAAGTAAGTTAGAGCAACGGTTCCTGAATCGCACACTTGAAATTATGTCAGCTATACATGAGTAATCTAGTAAACTAGTTATATGAATAGTAGTCAGAACTCTGGATCACCGTTAACGCCAGGGGATAGTGAGTCAGAAGAGAAAATGGGCGGACATCTCATCCCTAATCCTGTCCTGCTGCATGGGACACTTCTTGGTACCAGTCTTGGTAAGGCAAGGTCAAAGGATGAGTGAGACAGAATCAAGGGCTGACATAACCGCCCATTTTTTTCGCTCCGACCTGCGGTCCCGGGCGTTGATGGTACTGCAACCCTAGATATGGGGCCACACCGCCATGCTCCATGACATGGTCTGCTTTCCATGCAGAAACAAAAACCAACGATTAATGAGAAAGTATCCGAATATTTCACCGAGTGGAACAGACAGTGACTGTTGAGGGCTTTCATCGTCTGGTAGTGGCAGCAGTGTGGCAGAACAGTCTGGAGATGGACCTCGTGTTGGTTGGACTAGCAGCGAGGTAGCAACAGAAGAAGCGTGTCTTAGTAGCTGTCGTGACTTCTGGTTCTTCCAGCATTAAGAGGGCTTATAAGGGTTCAACGGGTAGCTTAAAAACCCTACCATTTATTGTACGCCCATAGTTTGTGTCACGGGGAGGCCCCGCCCGAATAAATTGCAGAACTGAAACGATCAAATGTGCCACGAGCAGCGCTTGGACCAACTTGATTTTACTGGCCGAGAGTGGAAGAAGGGCTCTCTCTCTCATCCGTAAGCCTAGGGAGGTGAGCGGAAAATTCGCCAGATGAAGGCACTTTGGTAGGCTCAACTCCCACCCACTCTTCATCTCCTTCCCCATTCTGTTTTCTCGAGCATTCCTAACCTACTACCACTTTTCCCCGTGTTCCAGAAGAACTTTTTAGTTTTTCCCCGAAAGAGTGAGGGGAGGGGACATAGCGCTTCTAAACAGCAGCCAAACACGACTCTCGCTTGGGAATTTCCGGCGTACCTCGTGCCCAATGCTGAAGAAAGAAACGCCACCATTTTCTCTTCACAATCGATGCCCTTTTTACTATTCCAAACGCCCATTTCCAGAGGACCGACCTGAATATGATCGACGAGCAATATGTCGAGTACTACGAATACCTGTGTCAAGGGATTCAAAAGCTTTTCGAAAGTGGCATTACATTTAACGCCGATTGCGAATCTCGTGGGAGCTCGTCTTCGTTCCAGCAGCCATCCGTATGGTAGGTCAGCACTCATGGTTCTGCAACCACAACGCCAGATGCAGACATGGTGTGCGAGTGAGGAGATTCGAGTTGGGTGACCAGGCGAAAGCGCCGTATGCGCGGCATTTGCACCAGGACCTAATTGATTTAATGAAAAAATGCAACGTAAGCGCAATCAGATAAGTGTCTGATGCCGCGCGCACCCTGATAGCTTTTGGTCGCCACAACTGGGACTTCTTGACCTGTACAACGACAAACAAGTGATAAGTTTATTAAGCCGTGCCTTGAAATCAAAGTACTATCACCAATACAACCTGGGACCGGAAATCTACAGCAGGAAGGTGTTTGTAGGAGGATTGCCTATTGATATCGAGGAAGGTAGGCACCACAGTCTTTGTCCATGTTCTTCACCTTCCTCCTAGTCTGCTTCTTCAGACGAGTTAGTGGAAACTTTCGCTCGTTTCGGATCGCTGGTCGTGGATTGGCCAAATAAGAACGAGACCAAGAGCTACTTCCCGCCAAAAGGTTAGCGTTGCTCTTCAACAAAGATTCTGGAACTGGTGCCCTGTCGTTTGGGTGAAAAAATAAAGAGGAAAAAACCCAGTGAAACAGTGTTTCATCCTGACTGGTAGCGTTCCACACTAATGATCGACCTGTGCCGCGTGAGACGTGCAGGAAAGTCGTAAGGTGCCGCGCAGAAATCCGATAGGCAGCGTTCAGACTTCGCGACGGCAGTGCTTCGGTCGCGCGTTCGACGCGATCGATGCGCATGCTTTTGACTGCATCGATCGTGTCGAACGCGCGACCGAAGCGCTGCCGTCGCGAAGTCTGCCTCTCAGGCAGCAACCGTGAGGCGGATGTCCGCTCAGTGTTATCTTTCTAGGCTACGTCTTTCTGATTTTTGATCATGAAACATCGGTAAGGACCCTGGTCCAGCACTGCACAGTTGAAGACGAAAAACTCTTCCTTTTCATCAGCTCACCGATGAGCACCGAAAAACTCGTAAGTGGCTTCTCTGGTGCTGACATCAAATTGAGTGACTAGGATGGAACAGGTTTTCGGGCAGTCTACGCTGATGCTATAGGCGGAGACAGTCAAGCACTGCGTCTTCCCTCTTAGTGTACCTCACCTTCTAGAACCGTCAAGAGGAGAGTCCCATGAGGAAGATGCAATGATTGACTGTCTCACCTATACCACCAGCGTGAGGCGGCCATTAGACTTCAGTGCTGCTCGTACTGCTTATTACTTTTTGCACTGATCTTTTCAGGTTTCTGCTTTTTCAGAAAGTCCAAATCCGCCCATGGCGTCTGGCTGATGCTGACTATCGTAAGTAGACGTTAACGTGCCAATCAATCTTCGCCGCGTAGTTTTTGTGGGTGGAGTTCCGAGACCAATCAGAGCTGGTGAGTTACACCTAAAGGCTCACGGGA